AGAGTGTGTGTGTGTGTGTGTGAGAGTGAGTGAGTGTGTGAGAGAGAACTCTAGAAGGGAATGTTTTATTGTTTCAGTCGCATTTCACCAGAAGCGCTGATCTGACTGAAGGAAACGGGAGGAACTGATGAAATGGACCTTTTTTACCGCTCTTTCAGCCTGCAATGTTTACATTAAACGTGTGTGTGTGTGAGAGTGTGATGGTGCTGTTGAGGGAATGAGACTGGATTGTAAACAGAAATAAAGTTCTCCATGTCTTAATTCTCTGGTATAATGTTGCGTGTGTTTTTACAATCTTTACTATAACAGAATAAAGCTGCTCTTCAAACACCGTCTCAATTCACACATGATACATTGCAATGTCATTATTACTTTATTTTAGAATTATAAATTTTATAGCTTTTAGTTATGTTTATTTGAGGCAGTCCAAACCAATGCGGACATGGGCTATTATAATTCTAACGATTTTTGTATTTTTAGTATTTAAAATTAATTTGTAAAATAAAGTATGTAAATATAAGTTTTATATAAGTATATACATGTATAATTTTATTTAATGCTTGTATTTTTACATTGTAATATATATAATTTAATATTAATTAATATGTTTAGTCAATTTATTCATCATTATATATTTAATATTATTTATTTTTTATTTTTATTTTTAGTTTGTGTTTGTGGTTGGGCCAGTTTGTACCTGCTGTCGTCAGTGGTGTGTAGTTCACTCACTGTTTGTTCTGGATTCCACTCAAGAATGTGAACGTGCGTAATTCACCTTTAACCCATATGAATTGAGTCTGCGGAGCTCCGAGCTGATTGGCTGAACGCTGGGGAGGCAGAGAGGTGGAGAAGCAGCCGCGCGGTGATTGGTCAGGGAGCAGATGTGGGCGGGGCGTTCACTCCAGCGCTTCGTGTTTAGCAGCGTGTGAGTCACAAGCACAGACGCGTTCAGACTCGGTAAGACGCGCTCAAACTGACCGAATAATTGTGTAGCGTGACGTACAGTTTATAAGTTTAACAGGGGGTTTTGTATTTAGCGTATGTAATGCATAACACAGAGGATTAAAAGAAATGCTACGATGATTTCATGAATATGCAAATGAAGTGTCATAAACTTACACAGATATGATATATTATTTACGAAAAATAACTTGTAGTAACCATGTTTTTTTGGTTGATTGATTACCATTTGTATTACCAGTGTTTTGCTACAAATGTCATGGTTAAACTATGGTTGGTGTAGTAAATCCATGGTTACCGTGTTTTTTTTTGGCTTTATATGTAGTAGGTTGATTTCTGGAAGGGTTGCATAGCATTCTGTCTAGTCAGCTTGTTCAGTAGTGTTTGATTGAGCAAGGCTTGTTCATAAATCATTGTGATGACTAACTTCTGGCCTGTTTCAGATTTGAATCCTGGACGTCAGAAGCGCTTCCAGTTTTGTCCACATATTCAGACTGAGCGAAACACCAACTGAAGCATGATTACATACATGAATACTGTGAGATAACACACACACGACACAGCGCACACGCTCCTGCAGGATCGGTGGTGGATGACGTGTGTTTCCTACACCCAGACATGCCCGTCATGCGGCTCATAAACTCTCCGTTCGCCCCGCAGGCCCCCATCACGCCCGTCGGCCCTCGGGCCCTGTGGCCCCCGCTGGACTTCATGCTGGGCGCGCTGGCGTGCTGCGGCGCATGTGTGTTCACCAACCCGCTGGAGGTGGTGAAGACCCGACTGCAGCTGCAGGGTGAGCTTCAGGCCCGCGGCTCCTATCAGCGGCACTACCGCGGCGTGCTGCAGGCGCTGTGGGTGGTGGGCAGCACAGACGGCCTCCGCGGCCTGCAGAAGGGGCTGACGGCGGCGCTGCTGTACCAGGGCCTGATGAACGGGGTGCGGCTCGGGTTCTACTCCTACACAGAGGCCACAGGACTCACGGACGCGCCGGGAGGGAGTCTGATCTCAGGAGCTGCGGCAGGAGCTCTGGGCGCGTTTATCGCCTCGCCGGCGTATCTGGTAAGAGACTCACCCCGCTCACACTGACACTAAATCAGCCTGTGCTGTTGCTTGTGTTTCTGCAGATCATGTGATCACATAACGTGCGAAACTTTGCTTGTCGCATCACATGAAGTCACGTGACCAGAACATTGCTAGGTCACGGTTGTGATCTCATGTCTGAATTAAAAGAACGCAAAGTGCAGTAGATTGCATATTTTTGCATTTTAGATTATACGTTGCACTGTGGTTTTAGAAAAGGTAACACAGAGTGTGACATCATATCATGACCGTCGCAGTGTCCATTCGTAGAAATTTCACATTCTCAAAGTGTAGTGTGACGCAGCTGAACACTTAAACATCTCGCAGCGTCGAGGCGTTTGATTCTGTTGGCCAGGATTCGTGGTTGTTTACCGTGTTTAACTGACTCATTTTCAGGAATAGTTGGGAGCCGTAACTGGAGTTGTTGTCCGTTTGCTGCTGTGTCAATCACTGCGGCATTGCATGCGTGCACACACACACACACACACACACACACACACACACACACACACACACAGAGTGTAGACAGTAAG